CCTAAGTGTATAGTACGTGAATGACACTTTCAATCGAGTCAGGCAAAATACTAGTTTTGTTTTAGTGTCAAATGGATGGATGGACAAATGGACGGAACCCAAATTAATATTGCCCAGAAACAAAAAAAGTGTTCAAATGATACGGTTTTAGCTAAAAAATAAATATCATATATGTATAAAGAAGATATTCTCCCAAACTTTTCCATTCATTTCATTTTATAGTACTGGACGGTCTTAACTCATAGACAAACACATTTACAACAACTGACTTTCAAAATCAAACAAAACCTCTGTTAGTGTCTATTGTTTACAAATCTAGCTCGTTTTAGAAGACACTTCTTATTCATTCTCATTATTCATCAGCAATTTTAATATTTGAAGGGAGTCAGGAGATGGCACAACACAAATTTGCAAAGTGAGAATGAACTTCAATAACCAAACTTAATACTACGAAAAGATAATGCCAAATTACTATAAGGCCAAAAAAAACAACAACTTATGTTGTCCTCAAGTCAGGAAAATTTGGTCAGTTGGTCGGATTTTTTTTTTTATTTAAACTCGTGAAAACTAAGGGTATCATAAATAGCCGAGGTATATGGAAAAAAAAACGCAACCTGATATTTCATATTTTTCGGCCGGTCGCTGAGGGCAACAAAACAATTTTTTTTTTGGCTTATAATAATGCATAGGCATTAATGTATATTCATATATCCAGCAAATTGCTCATGACTGATTCGTCGATTCGTTTTCCATCCCCAACTCCTTATATGGTATAAAAGTCTGAGCAGCTCAAGACACACAAGAACTTCAGTCATCAGTTGAGAGAAGCACTAAATTTTCTATAAAGGAGGCAACAACATGAACCAGTGAGATTCAAACCAACATCAAGGTCATAGCTATTTTACTACGATGCCTTTTCAAAATCAACTTACGTCACTACAGCATTAGGATTTTTCTCAACAGCATATACTTTGATCTGTCTGTCAGCTTTCGTGGCCGCGTTCAGAGATGCACGGACTAATGGACCTCTGCCAGCACCTAGCACCATCACAGTTCTGCAAATATCATCAATATTGTAAACGTAGAAATAAAATACATGACTTTATTGACATAATGTGGAAATGAAGCTCATTAACAGTCTATCAGATTACATTGTATTGAGTTCCATATGAATCCTGAGTTTTTGAGTTATCAGAGGAGATGAAGAATAAATTATGCAAATTAAGCTAATTAATATGTAGTGATGTAACACATTGTTACAAAAGCTTTTGTCTTGCCATTCAGCACAAAAAGAGTTGTGATCAATTAATATCAGATTGTAATATAATAATTCTGTAACTTGTACTCACACTGTCGTTTCTGCTTTCTCCTCAGCTGGCACTCTGTCCAATAATGCATAATATATAGCTTTCTCATACTGCGAGTATTTGATAGGATCTTTCTCGAAAATTTCATAGGTCTGTGACTCTAAATTATCGGCTAATGGCTACAATAAGACAATTACAGGGTTACTTGTGATCAGTGTGCGCCCTCTAAGCCGATTTGATGCATCCCAGACGCATAGAGATTTTTTCAAAATATGCTAATTTCATCACACATTATTAATGCAACAGAAATAATTTATATAATTCCCATTGCTTGTAGATCACTACTCATTTTATTTTCTAATATATTCATATACATTGATAGTGATCTTGAAAAACGTCTTATAAGTTAGGCCAACATAAAAATATGTTTTTTACTTGTCATAGCACATGTCAGTTTGAAACCCATGCCCTCACAAATTGTTTTTGCACTTTTGCATACCAATAGCGAGCATCTCGTATGGTAGAAAGTGTTTACAGTCAATTCAAACAAACATTTAATGCATGTCTCAGTTTTCAAAAGCATTTGATATATAAAAATATTAAACATTGTATATATATATATATATATATCTATCTCCTTCGAATTTTTTTTTATTAAGTGTAAAAACAAAGAAAATCGCGGGGTCACAACATATTAGTTTTGGATTTCAGAAGTCATCTACAGACACATAGTGTACAATCTTATTTGTCCTCGAAGACCTCTCTTCCTAGTAGCTGACAAGCTGACCAAACTTGATTTTAGGAGATTCCATTTGAACTCTAGATCAGTCCTGTTAAAGGACACACTGTTTGCGAGTTACTGCATGTGATGATAAACAGACCATACAAAGACATTATTGGCAATAAAACATTTCAGAAAAGTCTTCAATCATGCAAGCCCCTAATAAATTTCTATGTTCCACTCCTAAACATAACACAATCCTACCTGCAGAGGGCACTGTAGATAATCTTCATATCCCTTGGCAAATGCATCAACTCCAGAAGGTGGTGGTTGAGATTGATATAAATGATCCAGGTATTGCACATAAGCCCTGATGCCTTTATCTGGATGACGGTTTGTACCAGTAATCATCATTTGCACATCCAACTGGGGAGAAAATCAAGACCACAAAAAACAAAAACTGGGCTTGGTACGAGCCCCCTTCCATCAGTAGCAGTTGATAGAAAAATGGGTGCGATACAGTAATTCAACAATGAATAACAATTGGACAAAAACTTAATATGTATCCAGTGCATGGGAATCAGAAAACAAATGCAGAAACAATATGACCAACATTGAGTAACCTTACAGGAAATGCATGTTTAAATAACAAAATAAAAAAGAAAGCACACAACAGTCATTATGAAACTTTCTGTAAAACAATATTTTGACTGACATTTAAATTAATTATTTTGATGTTTTCAGCATATTCACAATGAATACTATGCTTATTTCGCTTGTTCATGTGAATTCAAATTTAGCAGATGATCTTTATCAGTGAAAATACTGGAATTGACACCCAGTGAATAAATAATACATTTACAGTATTAATAGCGACCTCTAGTGTTGAAATAGTACATAGTGAATTGAACAGCACCATCTTGTGTTGAAAAAGCACTTTTAGGTAATAGAACAGCACCCTCTAGTGTTGTAACACACATGAATTCTCGACTTACTTTGAATAATCTGACAACAATAGCTTGATGCGCCTTGGATAGAACTGGATAACCTTTTTTGTTGGTTAAGAATACACTAGTGGGTATTATCGCACACTTAATTGGCTCTCCTAACCATCTATCAATCGCTGATTTGGAGGGAAGGTCTGTCGACAATTCTAGAGCTGAAACGTGGAGAGCGAGTCAAAAGTTAGTAAATCTCTTCAGTAAATCATCAGGACAAATTACTGAGATCAATATACAAGAATTATAACATTTAAATCGCCATAAAACCTAATAAATAATTGTATTAATGCTTTTCCAAAAGTGTGTACGGAGAACTGCATTCGCGGGACGGACATCCGGATATTTTCCCTGCCTGGCAACAATCATGGTGAAAACAAAAGCCAAAAAATCTCAGAAAACTACACTTTGAGATGGTTGGTGAGACTCTCCTGAACAGTGTAACAAGAATACCCCTATATGGGCAACATGTATAAACTTGGTTGCTCAGGATTTCTCAATTCCTCAATTTTAGTTGTTTTCACTGGCGTCTTAGCTCTACGTCCCAGAGAATAAAGACATTCTATACAAATGAATACACGTCCATATGCCAAATTCATTAAGCACATACAGTGAAGCATACAAATAAAGTTGGCCTTTCAGAAGTATGGATGCACTCTCCAATTCATCTTTCTACACACATCATTAAAACGCCATTCTGACCAATCACGTGAAAGCAGCTCATCTCAAAACTCCAACAAGCTACATTTTGATGTTGCCGACCTCTACCGGTAGTGAATATTTAGTAAGAAATATGATTTCAATAACTATAATATGCAAGCCAAAGATGATTTCTATGTTTAAAGGGCGGCAGTCGTTGCGCCGCGTCTTGTTCGATATGGGACTCATAGCGACATATACAATGTGTGTAAAATTCATTGTTTATTTACATAAAATTCAAACACGCGCTGCGCGACGACCACCGGGCTTTAAGTAATAATTATTCTATGTGTTTTCCAGATTATGCACATACATCTGTAACACACACATCTAGTATACTTTATATACTCTGGTATACTATGGTGCTTTTTAAATGAAATAATTTGACGACCAATTTAAGAACTATACCCTCTTTATAGATGGTCTTCGATGTTGTCTTTCTGTTTTTTTTATCTATTTGTATGTGAATAATTAAATGAGTTTCCAGTACTATCATATATTGAAGAAGGCAGATATACGACTGCAACTTGTCGATTGACAATTTCTTTAAAAAACTGAAATCAAAGAAAGCTTAGAAAGAACTCCCATGTGCTGAGAGAGTATTGGAGACACATTAAATATAATTCAAAATTACTTGTCAGAGATGGTGATAGTGATGGAAAAGCCGAAAACTAATAATGCAAATCAGAAAATTAATATGAACAGATTTTAATGGAAAACTAATGAGGTCTGCGCAATGTAACAGACCATCTATGTACCAAGTTTTATTGAAATGTGATTGGAACCAAAAAAATTATGAATTATTATGCTAATTAGGGAATTAATATAAACAGATTTTAACCCCAAACTAATCAGGTTTGTACATTGTCCTAGAGCATCCATGTACAAAGTTTCATTGAAATGGAATAATTAGTACTTTAGATATCAGTGTAATAGCTTAAAAGTGGATAATTAAGTAAATTAGGTAATTAGGTTAATTAGGTAAAGCTGAAAATTAATTAATTATGCAAATTAGGTAAGTAATATACACAATTATTTACCCTAAAACTAATTAGGTCCCTGGATAGTCCTAAAGGATCTATGTACCAAGTTTCATTGCAATGTGATAATTAGTACTTGAGATATCTGTGGAAAAGGTGAAAATTAACTAATTATGCAAATTAGGTAATTAATATACACAAATATTTATCCCAAAACAATTAATCTCAGCATAGTTCTTGAGTATCTATTTACCAAGTTTTATTGAAATGTAATGCTTACTACCTGAAACATCAAAAGCTGAAAATTAATTAATTATGCAAATTAGGTAATTAATGTGCACTGACATTACCCTAAAAACTATCAGGTCTGTGCAGTGTCCTATGACATCTATGTACCAAGTTTCATTGAAATGTGATGATTAGTACTTGAGATATAAGTGGAAAAAGCGAAAATTGACTGATCATTATGCAAATTAGGTAATTAGTAATTAGGTAATGTTTACCAAAAACTAATCAAAACCAAGCATTAGTTCAGAGCATCCATGTACCAAGTTTCATCAAAATCCAATAAGTGGTTCTTTAGATATCAATGGAACAATCATGGAACAGCTAAAAATTAGCTTATTATCATGCAAATTAGGTAATTAATATGCATGAAATTTTACCAAAACCTAATCAAATCTGCGCATTAGCCCAGAGCATCTATGCACCAAGTTTTATCAAAAACTGGTGTATGGTTTTTGAGATATCAGTGGAACAGACGGACGGACGGACACACACACACACACACACACACACACACACACACACACACACACACACACACACACACACACACTAACCGCAATGACTCCCATTTTGTGCTTCGCACATGGGAGTCAATAAAAACCAAGTAAATAACTGAACATGTTTCCAGTGCTACCGTATGTCAAGGAAGGTAGATGTACGACTGCAACTTACCTATGGATAATTTCTTATGGCTATCACAGGATGTACGCAGTGTATTCCACCATTGCCATGTGTCTGTGTTTTCAGGGTTTACATCGTTGTTACTATCATCTTTATCTATTAGATCATCTATTTGTTGTACAGGGGATTTCATGGATACATGAATCCATACCTGAAATACAGGTCAACACAGTTACAGCTGTAGTACAACATTGTCATGCCACTTTCAACATCAGAATTTTACCCCAAAATGTCCACCAATCGACCAACATTGACGAATCCAAAAAACAAATCACCATGCAAATTATATGTACCGGTACCTTTGTATATTCTGAGACACATTTATTGCTATATTATGGAATACGGGAGTGAAAGTAGACATGAGCTTGCACGAATGATTCTACATGCTAGGTCACATACTAGTAGTTGCATTGAACAAGTCAGATCAAAAGCAGTCATTCTTATTGGTTGGCAGCTTACAAGTCATGCGACACATTAGCATATTTATCACCTCAAAAACAAGGTGACAACTATAGAGGGCGCAGCAGGACAGATCAGTTGTTGAAATATCATGTCAACGCAAGAGATTCTACAGACTTGTTTTTTAAGGAATTATCATATAAAACAATAAAATTGCCTAGACTGGACCAGTCTCTGGTTTTTCAGTGAATGTTTTGATATGTTCATACAAACAAAATTTCAATATTGTTCAAGCATTTTTTAAAATGACAAAAAAATTGAAAATCATTGTTACCACTTATTTGTACCGGATTCTGCTGTAAATTTGCCCATCCGAAAAATCGCCCTGGGCGATATCACGGCTGATGGGCCCTTATTTAAGGTTCAAAATTTTAAATCAAAGAAAGCTTAGAAAGAACTCCCGTGTGCTGAGAGTATTGAAGACACATTAAAAATTAATTCAAAATTACCTGTACATGAGATATCGATAGAAAAGCTGAAAACTAATTATGTACATCAGTAACTAATATGAACAGAACAGAAAAAAAAAATTATGAATTATTATGCTATTTAGAGAATTAATATGAACAAATTTTAACCCAAAATTAATCAAGCCTGTCTAT